GAAGAGGGAAGCCGGCTCTAACAGCCTTGGCCCCAGTTTGCTTGTATAATTAATGTGGGATTTTTCCTCCTCTAGTAAAAAATGACCTTGTCAAACCAGAGATGACAAAATCTTGGTTACTGAGCAGTTGTGGACTCCCTGATGGCATGGCATCCCCGGCCCTGCAAAGAGAAATCTAATAAAACCAGTGTCAGGGGCTCCCTGGGTGCCAGATCCCCTGCTACCTGACCCCACGATCCCAATTTATTAGCCAAACCCAAGAAAGCAGACAAACCTGACTGGCTCCAGACAGGAGACTTCCAAGAGGGAGCTAATGTGGGGGTTTGGGGCAAGGTTTCAACACAAATGACAAGGGAAATGACAGGAGGTGCCAGTCTGACCAGGGAGCCTGGGGAAAGCCCTATTCAGAGCATCTTGCTGCTTTGACAGGATGAGTTTAACTTGGAGGAAGAATGTGTTAGAAGGACCCGTTGAGAAGGGAAGTGAGCCTTTTCTCTTTGCACTGCTGTTAACAGGACCGTGGACTCTGTGTCCTGCATTCCTGGGAGTCAGCAGGCGTCAGTAGAGAATAGCCAAAGAATAATATTTGCATGGGGAGTTTTCGTCTTCTAAATGGAGCATTTCTTCCTGTGTAAGGGAGTTTTAAATGCACAGTCATCGTGAGTTCTTCTCTTTGCCCTACATGCCCCTCGATGGAAGCACTGATTAGTATCCGGCACAAACTTCACCCTTTATTAGATGAGTGACTGGGGAGGAGCGTTCAGCTTCAGCTGTGAACGGTATACTGCTCTCCTATGGGGAAGATTGCAATATGAGGGAACTAAGATCAGCCCAGGGGGAAAAACCCAAACAAAACAACTATAGAATTTCTTTATACTAGTAACAGTCAGTTGGGGGAGGGGGGAAGTGTGTGCCTATTTCGAATAGCAGTGAGAACTCCAAAGGGTCCAGGAATCAGCTTAACAAAGGATGTACACCTGGGGAAAAATGTTCAAACTCTAGTAATGGATGCAAACAACAGTCTTATGAATTGAAGACCAGTACATGCTTATGGATGAGAGGCCTTAATGTTTAAAGCTACCAATTATCTTCAAATATACTGTGAATTCAATTCAGGGAAAGCAAAATTCCCACCAGATATTTTTAAATATCTAAGAAATACAAAAATAGATTAAAACTGCCTACTGAGTTATGGCAAGGTGGCTCAGCAGGTAAAGGCATTTGCTACACAAGCCTAGTACCACAAGTTCTACTCTTGGGGTTCACAGAAAGGTGGAAGGAGAGAGCAGACAGCAAAAGTTGTCTTCTGAACTCCACATATACGCTGTGACAAATGTGCTCACCCATATCGAACACAGAGAAACACACTGTAGCTCACAAGGTTCACAACTGGGCAATAATGAAGATTACTTTCTCCTCTTTTAGCATGCATAACACCTTCCAATACTAAGAAAGATAGCCAGTAGTGATGAAGTTTCCAGGTCAGTATAAGCTTGATGTCTCCATGTTCTGACTCAAATATGTGGTGTCTTCAGCAATAGGGTCTTAGCTTCAAGTTCTGGTGGGTAACTAAAGGTACTGGCAATATCCTATAATGTTTGGTGGTCTGTGTGACCTCACTGGCTGTTCTAGTTAGTTTCTCCATTGCTGTGACAAAAAGTCTGACCAATACCAACTTGGGGAGGAAAAGGTTTATTTGGCTTATATCTCCTGGGTCACAGTTCATCAGGGAGCCCAAGATAGGAACTTAGGGCAGGAACCTGGAGGCAGGAGCTGGAGCACAGGCCATGGAGGAATGCTGCTTACTGGCTTGCTCCCCTGGCCCCTACTCAGCCTGCTTTCTTATATAACACAGGGCCATCTGCCCAGGAGTGGCACCACCCACAGTGTGCTGGGCCCTCCCACATCACTCAATAATCAAGAAGATGCCCCACAGACATGGCCACGGGCCAGTCCAATGGAGGCATTTCCCCAATTGAGGCTCCCTCAACCCAGTTGTGTCAAGTTGACACTAAAGTTATCCAGCACACTGGCCAATAACTACTGGCACTGAGCTTCATATTTGTTAGCCCGTGGTGTCTAGTAGGTCATTGTCAACTTGTTATAGGGTAATTCTATTCAAATTCTTTATATGTATATATATATTTTAGGAAGCTTAGACAGTAATAAGTTTCCAAGTGACTTTTTCTCCCCATTTAACCCTTCCTGTACCACCATTCCTCTTCCCTCTTTATGCTACTGCATTCTACCTTCCTCTCCTTCAAGGTCCCCACCCATGGCCCCTTACCAATAAAAGATTGTGGAATTCTAAGCCCTAAATGGGAAATCTGTATCACGCTTACACTCCCTCCTCCCAAGGCTCAAGGACCATTGTGGAAGAAGAAGCATGAAGATTGTAAGAGCCAGAGGTAGTAAATGAATACAAGGAAACTGTTTTGTGGACACGACGCAGACGTCTGCACATACGAACTCAGCAATTGTGAAAACATGCATGAGACCTGTGTAAGTTCAAAACAGGTAAAATCCCAGCATGGAGAGGGAACGTGGGCATTATGCCTTAGTCCTAGCCGAAGAGGTATGGGCAACTGAAAGCTGCTGGGAGAGGGAGAGTCCATTTTCTTTGAGGATATGGCTCCAGGTGGGTGGGTGGGGAAGGGGGTGTGGATCTGGGAGGCACTGGGGAGAGCAGAGGTGAATACGATTCACAGACATTGTATGAAGTTCTCAAATAACTAGTTAAAATGAGGAGGAAAACAGTAAAACTGTACACTGGAACGTGAGTCCACAGTTAGATGAATTTCGAATAGAACAAAGAGGACAGAGACATTATATACCAAATGTCCTCTGTTCTTCCAGAGGATCCAGCTTTCATTCCCAGCACCCACATGACTGCTAAAAGTGGTCAATAATTCCAGTTCCATGAGATCCAACACCCTATTCTGGCCTCTGTGGGCCGTTGCACACGTGATGCATTTACATACCTTCAGGCAGAACTCGTATACATAAAATAAAAATAATAAATACAAACATGTATTTTAAAGATGGATGTGAAAATAGGGCACTGACCTTCACAATGTATGAACACATTAGAACAACTGAAGAGATAGCGCTTGGGTAAAGAAAAGTATAACAAAGATGATGGCAGATGTAAGTAAAGTTTTACCCATTCATTTTGACTGGTAATCCTAAGAAACTGACATAAGTATTACAATGGAAATCTTTTCACTGGAAATCATCATGGCCAGATGTCTTAAAGACAAAAACAGAAAAGATAAAAGTCTAAGGCTAATCACAGAAAGTGTTATGAATATGAGCTGGGAATATAGAGGAATTTCTTAAACGAGTCTCAAAAACCATAAATAATGTCATCAAAATTAAGAGTCCCTGATTATAAACATCACACGTCTAATTGACAGAAACTATTTATAGGTCACTTATAAGTTTCCAACTGTCAAAAGACTATTGTCTGGAACACATAAGAAACTTGTAAAAGAGAAAGAAAGGAGATGGCTCAGTGGTTAAGAATGCTTGCTGTTCTTCCAGAGGACCCGGGTTTGAGTCCCAGCACCCACATAACTGCTAACAATGGTCAATAATTCCAGTTCCAGGGGATCCTACACCTTCTTCTGGCCTCCATGGGGCATTGCATGCATATGATACATTTACATACCTTCAGGCAAAACACTCATATATATAAAATAAAAGTATATTTTTAAAAAGAGAAAGAAATAAAATAAGAGATAAATGCATAGACAGTATACAGAAGAGGTTTCCAAATGCTTGGTATATATCTAAAGGGATTCCCAAATTTACTAGTAAACTAGTATAAAAATGGAATGAGGTATTTTGCCCCATCAAATTGGAAACTTTAAGATAGCTAGGTAATGTGAGGGAGATGAGGGAGTATGGTTTCTACGGCCTTTGACTACCAGAGCTGAGGACAGTCAGCTGGACAGAACCAGGAACAGCTTGCTGTGATAATATACAAGTGGCCCTATGAGGCTGCAACCTTACCTTCACTTACTCGTATATTTGAGAGAAAATTCAGCATGAGTCCTTAAGGAACCCACGGAAGATGTTAATCATAGCCTTGCTTAACTCAGATGTCACACTGTGGCCCATTTGCTAAACTCGACCACACCCATGCATTTGTGTACAACGTGTGACCGCTTTTAGGCTATGACAACAGATTAGAATTTGCAGCAAAAACCTTCAGGCCAACAAATCCCAAAATATTTATAGCCTTCTTCTTTGTAGAAAAAGTTTGCTGATTCTTGGTTTAGAGTATCTGTGAACAGTAGGTAACTTAGGAGTCCGGCGGCTGAAGGGAAAATAAGGAAGTTATGATGAACACAGTTATGAAGAACACAATATTAAATTGTTTTCTTGAGTCATAAACATATGAGTTGTGTACACAGACATGGAAAGATCTTAAAAAACAGCACTGAATGCAAGACAAGAATAAACAGAACAAAGCACTCATTATTAAGACTTCTGAAATTGCCAGTGCCTGTGTAATAGCACTATTATGTGGGTTTCTTTTTCAAAACTATATGAAAGGTCATGGTATCGAATAAAAGATATAATTTCTAAACTGAGGAGTGTAGGCACATAAAGAAAGCACATTTGTCTGGTTTAATGATACAAATAGACAATGAGCTAAGAGTGATTTACATGTGCCTCTCTGCCTGAAACCCAAGAAAGTAAATATGGGAAGAAGTGAGCATCATGCTTAGCACATTGGAAATTTTCAAGAAGCATTCATCATCATCATCATCGTCATCATCTTCATCGTCATCATGTCCTTGTCATTAGTCATTTAACAGTGAAATCCTAAGCATGGAGCTAAAATCAACACGAAGAGCATGTTTAAGACAGTCTTGTTGCATCACAGAGTCCAGACTAACTGACAGGGAGAGAAACCTTTAAAGGTCAAAAGGAATTTAACTTATTGTTAAAATCCATTAATTAGTGGAGAGTGAAGAAAAGGACGTGTTTACCGTAGTAGTTCCTCAGTTATGCTGGACAAATACATCTGTCTCTGCGTCTCCTGGTCCTCATGGTGGGCATGAGTGATTTACATGATTCCTTTGTTAACTGACAAAATAAAAGAATGGAGAAACTGAAGGACTCTACTTTTTTTTTAGAATCAGATCATGTTAATTTCTACTTCTTTTTGACTGGTAAGTGCCACACACAGCCTTTGCTAAGAACTTAGGAGCCATTGCAATCTTCAACTCTCAAAAGGGTCATATGACAAAGGGAGCCACTTCCTGCTTTATGAAGAGGAGGTGAAACACCGCTCCTGGTTTTCACAGCTGGTGAATGAAGGGACTGGGATGAGCCCAGCAGTCAGATTCTGCAGATGGAGTTTTTAAATTGTGCTCCAGTATCACCCATAAAGACATCCGTCTGGCCCCTACAGGCCTGTGGCTTGGATTCATCTGATTCCAGGTTCAGAGGCAGCCCGGGGTGTGTAGACACTGTCCTTGGAAGTGAAAGGACTTGTCAGCTCATTTTTGATAGATCACATTTCTTAGAATAAGCACAACATATTTTCCATTTGCTGAGTGATTTTATCATGCCTCCCGGACTGGGCTTTGGAGCGGGGAGAGGAAACAGGTTTCATGGTAAAGCCTGAGAAATACCTCTGAGGCAGTCATGGGTGAGGGGTTAGTAATGGGTGACTTCGGCCCCTATTTATGCTCACCTGGCACAGGAAGCTGTGGTGGTTTGGCCCCAACTCTTCACAAGCTCCCCATTTGCCCTCCTGGGTTGATGGTCTGGTGAAGAATTTGTCTAAAGGAATTGGTTCCAGGAAAAGTCCAGCTGTGTCTAACAGGAAAAGGAGAAAAGAGAGAGCGCAACCAAGGCATAAATATCTGGCTTTCTGCCTCTTGCTTGGGAATATGTTCTCTCCAGCTTGCAAGTGTGGAAATGAGTAACTGATGAGTCTCAAAACTTGGCTGAATGGCATAGCCCTGGGCAGACATATGGGTCCCCTTGAAGACAGAAATGTCCCTTTTGGTAGAAATCATCTATAACTAATATTTAAAAACTTAAGTCATTCATTAAGCACGTGGAAAAAAAATGCATCACCAGCCATTAGGAAAATACAAATCAAAGCCACAAAGAGACCCCAGTTCACACCCATTCAGAAAAGGAGAATAAAAGGACAGGCTAATAATAAGTGCTGGTGAGAATATGGAGAAGTTGGAGCACCAAGACACTGCTGGTGGGACTATAAACTGGGGTAGATGTTTTGGGAAGCAATTTGGTAGGTCCACAGAGTTTAGACCTAATCGAATGACTCAGTACTCCCATACTTAGGTATATAATCAAGGGAACTAAAAGTGATTGATGAAGAGATTGGGGTGTTTCCAGGATTTTGATAAAGTCCCAATTTCCCCATCTTTGTTTATTTTACACTTTTCTTCCCTTTTGCTTCTATAACAAAATGTCTGATGGTGTGCAATATTTATTTATTCATTATTTCTTTATTGTGTATGAATCTTTTACCTGCATGTAGGTAAGTGCACCATATGCATGTGATGCCCATGGAGGCCAGAAGAGGGCATCAGATCCCCTGGAACTGTAGTTACAGATGGCTGTTAGCTGCCGTGTGTGTGTGTGTGTGTGTGTGTGTGTGTGTGTGTGTGTTGGGAAGCAAGCTCAGATCCTCTGCTAGAGCAACCAGTCCTCTAACTGCTCAGCCATGTCTCCAGCCCCTAATGTGTAATTTACTTTAAAAAGAAATGTATTTGACTTGTGGTTTAAAAGGCTGGGAAGCCGCAAATCATGGTGGTGCTATTTGTTTGGCACCAGGCAAGGATCTTCTTGCTGCTTTATGACATGGCAGAAGGCATCACATGATTAGATGGAGTGAGGCTGCTAGCTCACACCCACCTTTCTCTTCTTACAAAGCTACTACTGCCATCACGGGTACCCTCTCTTCATGACTTTTTCTAATCCTATCTACCTCCTGATGACTTCACTTATAAATGCCATCAATATATTAATCTGAAGATTAAATTTCCGACACGCAAACCTTGTGGCACATACCCAAACCATAGGGTTTGGTTTACTTAGGGTAAAAGTTTTCCTGAGATGAACTCTGAGTTGTCTACCTCCAATCCAATTTCCACTTGGCCTGCTTCACCCAATTATTCTGCCTCCCTGGTCCTTGAAATCTTTTGCATTTAAGACTGACTCCAGTGAGGAAGAAGCATTCTGTGCGGCATTAAAGAAGGAAGCAGGGACACTGACTAAAACTATTCACCTGAAATTGGAAGCTATCAGAGATGTGGTGTGGGGCTCACGGGAGAGAAAAAGCGTGAGGTAGGAATGGCAAGTGAGAGATTGAGAGCCAGATTTTAGAGAGAAGTAAAGAAGAAAGAGCAAAAGTTAACTTCTTCACCAGGGAAGAGGGACGTGCCAAACCCCAAGGGCCCAATCACCTACAGATCCTTAGTGGAAGAATGTTCTAGAACAGTGGAGTATGCAGTGTCACCTTAGAACTTGATCTTTGGCACTTATGGGAGTTTTGTTTCCTTGAAAACCTTTGGGGAAAGCAGCAAGTCTCTTTGAAGGATTGGCTTTGCAGCTATTGCCTTCAGGTAGCTTACAGTCAGCTGAAAGCTAGTTCTGAAAAATCCACAAGGCATATCTATATGAATCTGAGCTTCACTCTTAGGCAAAGCTAAAATTCCATCTCATGGGGCTGCTGGGTCCATAACAATCAACCTGAAAGAACCAGGGTAGAGCTGGACCACGTCCTCTGATTGCACATGCTGAAGTTTCCAATTGATTCAACGATTTTTACTTGTTTTTGTTCTTTAAGCTTTTATTATTTTTGATAAAAAGCAAAAGGTAACAAGAAGGGCCATTATTGACCACTTAGGAGAATTGGTAAGCTGGGCTCTATACAGTGAGTGTGTATGGGATACACACATTGCACTTACTGCTGAGAGACCCCTCCGGCTGCCCTCCTTTCTTCTACCCATGTGCTTCTTTGCTGATCCTATCTTCTTTTCCTCGCACAGTTGATTTTATGTTGTTTTGCTTTTGCTTTTTTTCCTCTGTTTGGAACTGGTATATTACCTATTATTTTAGTGTTCATGTTATTATTTTTAGCCTGTATGATTATCTTGAGTTTAAAATTTAGGCCAACTGTCTCCTTTATTTTTTTCCCTCATTTCCTTTTTATTTTTTGTGAATTTCATACACGCATATAATGTGTTTTGATTAGATCAACTCCTCATCCCTTCCTGTCTAATTCCTCCCCTGACCCACAATTACTTTCCCCCCCCCTAGCTTTATATACTCTTTTTAAAGACCCACTTAGCGCTGCCTGTATGTGTATAGGACAATCTAATGGGGCATGGGCAGACTCTCAGGCACTGTATCACTGAAGAAAAGTCACTTGCTCATCCCAGAAGCCATCAACTGCCATATTACAGAAGAGACAGCATATTCAGTATGGTGCTGTTCAGCCTGGGTAGTTACATGTAGAAGACAGAAATTAGATCCTTGATTCTCACTGTGCACAAAACACAACTAGTAGTGGATCAAAGACTCAACATAAAGCCTGATACCCTGAATATATTAGAGAAGAAATTTCAGCTTATAGGCATAAGAAGGGACTTACTGAAGAGGACCCCGATAGTGCAGACACTGAAACCAATAATTGATGAATGGGGCCTCATAAAACTAAAAGCTTTCTGATGGCAAAGGACACAATCATTTGAGTGAAGAGACAGCCTACAGAATAGGAAAAAATATTTACCAGCTATACATATGACAGAAGATTGGTGCCTAGAATATACAAAGAACTTAAACAACTAAATATCAAAAAACCCCACCCCAATTAAAAACTGGAGCATGGAAATAGAGTTATCAAAATAAGAAATAAACATTCTTAAGAGATTTTTTAAAAATGGGTCTTGTGTATGCTAACACAATTGTTGTAGGTTCATTTGAGTAGGGTCCCAGGAGCTGGTAGGACACTTTTTCCATATGGTCATGCACCTCCTTCCTGGCTCTTATAATCCTTCTGCCCCCTCTTCCGCAATGGTCCCTGAGCCCTGGGTGACTGAAGTTTAATGCAGAAGATCAATGCAAACTCAAGCAGACAAAAAACCAGTATAAAATTGTGGGAATGGACAGCAGACCTCAAACTTAGTTGAAGAAATATTGGCAACTGATTACTGCTGGGTGAGGAAGAGCTGGTCTTCCTAAAGCGGGGAACTCTAGATAGGCTGACTAGACCTCAGTAGATGAACTTGCACTGAGGAACTGGGGACACTAATCTAACACAATAGGCCTTAACACAAATAACAGAATGTATGAATTCCAGTGGTGGAGTGCCACAGGAAGGTGCCAGTGAGAAGTGGGGATAAAAATGATTAAGATTAATTGAAATGTTCTGCATGAAATGCACAAAAATTCAATAAAAAAGTTTAAAAATGTTTATTATCTTTAGCTATTATGGAAATGCAAAGTAAAACTAATTTGAGATTCCATCTTATCCCTTTCAGAATGGCTAAGACTTTTAAAAAAATGACAAGAAATGATGGCAGGATATAGAGAAAGTAGAACATTTTTTGACCGTTGGTGAGAATGTAAACTGGTTGCAGCTACTACGGAAATCAGTGTGGAGATTCCTCCAAAAGCTAAGACAGATCTGCCATATGACCCAGCTACCCCCTTTCGGACAAACCCCAAAGGACTCTGTCTCCTACTAAAAATGCTCATCCATGTTCATTTCTGTCCTATTCAAAATAGCCAGGAACTGGAAACAACCTAGATGTCCATCAACTGATGAATGGATAATGAAAATGTGGTGCATATACATAATGAGTATTATCGAACTGCAAAGAAAAATGAAATTATGAAATTCACAGGTAAATGATTGGAGCCAGAAATAAAAATTCTGTGTGAGGTAACCCAAACAGAAAAAGACAAATGCTTCATGGTCTATCGCATATATGGAGCATGCAGATGGTATATATGGGGAAAGGGGGATAATGGAACAGGAAGGGTTAAATGGAGTAGTAGATGGGAAAGCAGGATAGAGGCCGGAGTATGGAGAGAGAGAGACCCAACACTAAAGACCTTCGAAAAAGCCATATGGAAACCCATTACTCTAGAAGCTTCCTAAAATACATACATTACACATACAAAAGGAGTTTAAGTGGAGATACAATATAATGGGGGTCTGTGCCTCTCTTAGACACAATAGGCAAATCAAACAAAAAGCCCAGTGCCAGGAATGGGCTGCCTCTTTTGGAGTTGTGGGTCAGTGGGTCCTATCCCTCTCTAAACATTCAAACTACTGCCACTGCTCTTGACTGCCCTCCAGAATTTCATGGTTAAGACCCTATTGCTGAAGTCACCACATACTTGAATCATAGGCCATATTCTTTCTTAGCCTCAAAAATATCATCCAATTCTTTAACATAATTACTAATTTATCAACATCAGTCATTTCTTTCTGTGGTATTTGTGACTTTAAACCCTTAATAATGAAGGTGATCTTCAAATTTCACACCAATTCAATGCTAAAGGAGCAATTCTCAAACAAATTTATGCTGATTATTAGATATGCAGCCTTCAAGAGAATTCACTGATTATGGATAGAGTCTCAAGCTGGGAGCTTTTTCATGTTTAAAGCTTGATCATTAAAACGGTGGCCTGCTGCTGGTGACACATTTTTCAGCTCAATTCCTCATTAATACAAAACTTATGTTCCTTAGAACGGTGACAAAGTGCTGAAAACACCCACAGTTGGCTCTCCAGTTCCCCTGTTTTTACCAGCTTGCACTACAGTGGTTGAAGCAAA